AGGGTCTCACTCTTGCTCAGGCTGGTTTCGAACTCCTGAGCTCAAACAATCCGCCCGCCTCGGCCTCCCAGAGAGCTAGGATTACAGGCGTGGAGCCACCGCGCCCGGCCGATCCATGCATTTTTGGCACTGATCTTGGGCTGTGAGACCTTACTTTTATTAGAGAAACAGCCAAATAAGAGAAGTTTCCAAACAGAGAATGCTGTGGCTAGAACCAAAAGGAAGTACTCAGATGGCTTCCCTTTGGGGGAGAATATTTGGTGGCATTTTTCCTAGGTCCTTTCTTCCATATTTTTGTTGCATTCTTTCTGGAGGCTACCTAACATAGAGGATTCTGAGAGAAGCCAAGAGATCAAGTTCATTCGTCCTCTGAATATCCCAGAACAGATTCCTCTTTGGAGTTAGAACATAAAGAGCCCGATGTAGCAGCTTTGTCCTCTCCTGGCTCTGCATGTCAGGTTTTAACTGCTTAGTCCCTCACCAGTGGCCCAGTTCCGCATCGAAGCCGTTAATCCCTTACTTTGTTCTCTTTCTCCAGTGGCCTCTAGGTGCCAGGTGGAGGAAAGTACCTCTGAGTGCCTTCCCTTACATGTCTCAATTTAGTTCTTAGGTCATTAGGTCTCAATCTTGCTCGTCTTCCAGGATGTATGTTTTGACTCATGTTTGTTTGCCTCCCAGTTCATCAACTTACATGAGAATGGCCAGAGCAATGCTGACAGTGTGAGTGAGCGTGCCGTTGCAGAACTGTGGCTGCAGCACAGCTTGCAGTGCCACTGCCTCTCAGCCCAGCTCCGACCTCTGCTCGGGGATAGACAATATATCAGAAAATTCTACACAGGTAGGTAGGGGCCACTTAGTCAGGATTGTTGCTTATACCTCCTCATTCTCTTCTACCTCACTATTGCTTTATAGAAATATCCCTCTAACCTCAGAGCCTCATTTTTCACTTGATGCCATAGGGATTCTACTCAGAAACACGTATCCAGTTTTCTCTCACCTCCCATGTAAAACACAATCAAACTTTATGCTAAGGTATTCCCCTACTCCCATACACACAAACCAATAGGAATAACTACCATTTACTGAGAGTTTCCTGTGTGCCAATCACTGTTATACTATATACTCTTCACAACAGCCCTGAGAGTTGGGTAGCAGTACCCCTGTTTTCCAATCAGAGACAGAGCTAAAGGAGGGTTGTGACTTGGCCCAAATCACCCAAACTAGGATTCAAATTTGGATCATTCTAACTTTGATGACTCTTGCCTCGGCCCCTTTGCTATAGTAGCCTCTTCTGTACTTCCTGATTTCCTTTCACTCCAGTGGCATGATTCTTCCCTATTTATTTTTATTTTATTCCTCTCTCTCCCTGACCTTCTCCTAGGGCATACAGAGAAGCTAAAGATCTCCCTGTTGGGTTCCATCACCATAGTAGTTTTTCTTTCCCCAGATACTGCTTTCCTGCTAAGTGACGCCCACGTCACGGCCATGCTCCAATGCCTAGAAGCAGTGGAACAGAACAACCCCCGCCTCCTGGCTCAGATTGATGCATCTATGGTAAAAGGGGCAAGGAATTATCTGTGTCTATGCTGGGCCCCTGGACCTCACCATGATGTAACCCTCTATAGCAAACTACTTCTTTACTTAGGCAATTGTGAGCTGAAAGTCTGTCATTTTAAAAAAATGCATGGAGAGAAGGGGAAGTACTATTAAGTACCTGTTGAAGTAAAAGGTCTAAACTTAGGTCTGTTTGCTGGGAGTGGGGGTATGTTTTTTAAACCCATGGGATCCTTAGTCTGAGTAAGTATCTCAAGGCTTGACAGAGAGCTGAGGAGGGATGGTTCTGAATCAGGAGTAGGGTTTAGTGTCAGACCTAGTGGCTTAATGTTACGTGGAATCTTTTTTTTCTTTGATACAAAGAAAATTTTGTTGCCTATGATTAAATTACCTCATCATAATACTCAAAGTCAGTGCTTTAGCTAGAATGGAATTGAAGTCCCTACTCCTTTTAGAAGGGGATCCCCTCTCTCCTGGTTCTTTTAATTTTGATTATTGGTTACTACCCATTCAGTACTTTCTATGTGCCAAGCATGGTGCTATCTATGTACAATACATGCATCATCTCATTTAACGCTCACAACTCTGAGGTCAGCATTAATCTGAATTTATAAAGGAGGTCATTGAGGCACAGAGTAGATAAGTCACTTGTCCAAAGTTTGGACCAAATAGCTTATAAGTGACAGGGCCCAGATTTCAACCTGGGCCTATATGGCTTCTGATTCCACATGCATAATCTTAAGCACTTTGTTGTGCTGCCTGCATGATAAAGCACTCCAGGTTTGACCACCTGGAAGGATTCTAGTGCAGAAGCTGTGATGTATAGCAGGACTTCAAGGTTTCAAAGTTATAAGCTGTGTGCTATAGTAGAGGGTAATTGTGCTATATCTATTGGCTGTAGCTAAAGTCCATGCCTGCTGCCAAAGGCCAGCTTCTACTAGCATTTCTGAAGTAAATGAATGCCCTTCCTCTGAAAACCTCTATCTTTGACTTTGACATATTTTGTTTTGTTTTGTTTAGTTCGCCAGAAAGCACGAGAGCCCACTATTGGTGACAAAGAGCCAGAGCCTGACAGCTCTGCCTGGTTCCACATACACCCCTCCAACCAGCTATGCTCAGCATTCCTACTTCGGGTCCTTCTCTAGCCTGCACCAATCCGTGCCCAACAACAGCTCGGGTATGGGGGCAGGAAGGGGTGGTTATTACATGTATTCCCAGCCATGGAAAATAGAAGACTTTGTTGGTGCTCACAGGCTGGGAATTGAGCATAGGGTTGGTGCAGTTTGTCAAACTTCATGTGTTAATAATGGACATCTGAAAAGGTTTATATGGTGACTAGCCTAAGATGATTCAGTAGAATCATTAAATAACAGAGGAAAGAGAAATTTAGATTTCCCAGGGTTTCTAATCTACATTGCCAAGAAGGCATTTAAATAATAGGTAACATTTATTAATTGCCTGCCACGTGTTATGCTGTTATAATCAATTTATATGAAACAATGTATATGTATTTTCTCATTTGATCCTTAAAACAGTCCTATGAGGTAGTTATTATTATTGCTCATTTTCCAGATGAGTGGATACTAATAAGCAATAAAGCCACTGTCTCAAGAGCCCATACTCTTTACTTAGCTGCTTCTAAATAATTTTTTACTTTATTTGACTTACCTTTCTGAGGTAACACCATGTGTCCTGGGCATCCGGTAATAATAAGGAATTTGGTCCTTAGTTGTGGGGAAGCCTTTCATGTATGCTGCAGGATTCCAGCTCACCTTTCTCTCCCCTTACCCTTTCTTTTTATATCCTAGAGAGAAGATCTACTTCTTTTTCACTCTCTGGCCCTCCCCGGAAACCTCAAGAAAGCAGAGGGCACATCTCACCAGCAGAGGATCAAACCCCCCAAGCCCCCTTGCTTTCAGTCTCTGCACTAGCCAGGGATTCTCCTTCAACCCCAAATGAGATGAGCTCTAGCACTCTAACCAGCCCCATAGAGGCATCCTGGGTCAGCAGCCAAAATGATTCCCCAAGTGATGCCAGTGAGGGGCCTGAGTACCTGGCCATTGGCAACCTGGACCCCCGAGGCCGGACTGCCAGCTCTCAAAGTCACAGCAGCAATGCCGAGAGCAGCAGCTCCAATTTGTTCTCCTCCAGCAGCTCCCAGAAGCCAGATTCTGCTGCTTCTTCCTTAGGGGACCAGGAGGGAGGTAGGGAGAGCCAGCTATCCAGTGTCCTTCGCAGGTCCAGCTTCTCAGAGGGGCAGACACTCACTGTCACCAGTGGGACGAAGAAGAGCCATATTCGCTCCCATTCAGATACCAACATCGCTTCCAGGGGAGTCCCAGGTAATGATGAGCACAGCTGCTAGTTAGCAAGGTGGCCCCTGAATTCAGGGTGGAAAGGGGGTTTGTTTTTGAGATTTTTCAAGTGGCAGAAAGAGAAGCTATGTTTCTGATGACATGATATCCTGCTTTATAATGAAAGAGAGAAGTTTGTAATGTGATACTGATACTCAAAATCTCCGAATATGTTTGTTTGTTCCCGTTATACATTGCTAAATATTAAATGCTTCCTGGATTCTTTACTAGTTCCCTGGCATCAGAGGATAGTGTGACTCATCACAGTGCAAATTTTATTTATATATTTATTGAAACGAAGTTTATTGAGGAAAGACAAGATAGGTTTACAGAGCAAGAGGAAGATATAGGTTTATAGAGTAAGAGCAAGATACATTCACCACAGAGCAGCAAATGGGCCTCTTGTAACAAAAAGTCCACCAGTTTAAGTTTAAAATATGTCTCTCAGACTGAGGGAAAATATTAATGAGCTTTAAAAATAATCACGTTAAATCCCTTCTCTCTTCCTGTGATTTCTTAGAAGTTTGATCAGGATGATGTAATACCAATATGAGAGAAACAAAGTGATACTAGAGTTTTCTAATTAAAACTAGGGATATAGTGAGTGTGGGGTGGTGTGACCTAGTAATCAAGTAGGTGGGGCTGACTGCTGCATCGCTGATGCAGGCTGAGAGGCAGTCAGGTAAGGAGGCCCTGGCCACTGACACCTCTGTTGCAGAAGCACCAGCTGACAGCAGGGAGCAGCCTAGACATGGGGAAGGAGGGTTTCATTGCTTTTGCCATCTCCCTGCCATTGTCTTTCCTGGGTTTTTGGTATCTGGCAGGCTTTGGTTGAGTTTCATTTGTCGTAGAATCTCTCTAACAGCAAGTATAACATGGACCTTTGTGCTCAAAGCCATTCTGGGTCAGGAAAGCCACAGAAATAAAATATTAAAAATTCAATAAGACTGAAAAAAAAAAAGGATTTCCTGTAGCAACTGGAGCTGCCATTGCTTTCTCTTTGTAATTTCTAGAAAAGTGAGAGCTAAGGTCCTCATGTGAAACCTTTGGAATGACAAACTTTTGTTTCTGTTTTCCCTCAAGCATGTGATTTGACTTATTAGAACTCTTTAGGAGAAAGATCTCCAAATCAAAGCCTGTCTTCCCACTAGCTTTCTTAGATGTGAAGAGTGCTTGGATTAAATCCTCACTTCACATCTGCTGCTGGAGGCCTGGTATCTACTATATTCTAAGCCACTGGCCTTTGAGCATGTATAACTTCCCTGCCTCTATCCTTGAATCCGTGTGGATTCCAAAAACCACAATAACCTTCATTGGAAAAGGGAGCCAGGGAAAACATGCAAAAGGGTCTGAGGAAGTATGGTTCATGTATAGCTTCTCGTACAAGTCATCCCTCCTTCAGCACTGGGGTTCCCTCTGAGGAATTACATACCTACTTCTGCTAGGTAAAAATGTAGGACACTCTTTTTTTTCTCTATCCCTCTATTCTTGTTTGCTCTGTCTGGACTCTCTTCTGCACCTGTCTGTCTACCTACAGGAGGCCCCAGGAATATCACCATTATAGTTGAAGATCCCATTGCAGGTTTGGGAGTTGGTCTTCCACCTCCTCTTCCTTCTGCTCCTCTGTGACCATGTTACTTAGTTCAGAACCTCCTTTTCCAGTCTGGTGTCAAATCAAGTCTGGCTAGTCTGGTCCTGTTTCCATGCTTGGACCTGTCTGTAAAATGTCACCAATATTTCATGTGATATATCTTCTGCCTACAACTTCCAGATGCCTCCTTCAGTCTCCCAGTAGCTTCTGGGAGACAGAATCAAGACTTATCAATTCAGTTTTTCCCAAAGGTGAAACTGAGCCTGCTGTTTGTCTAAGGCATCATGATTAATCAGTGGCAGAATTCTTAAGACTGAGTACTTCCTATGGATTACTTTATTTTCCTTGAATTAACACCAGATTGTGTTTTATCCCCTTTCTGTGGTCTTGGATATGCTTGCATGCTTTTTGCCTTTCCTAGAGTTCCCTGTTTCCTTTTTCTTTCACCTGTCTTCATTACCCTATAAGTTCCTGCACCCCATTCCATCCATTGCACAGGATTTTTCTAGTGACTTAAGTCTGTTTCCTTGGTTTTCATGCTGGTGTTCAAACTGAGTCTTGTGTTCCTTTCTGGGTAGCATAATTCATGGAGATATTAACACTAGAATGTGTTGGTAGGACAGAATGGTAAGGGAAGACTAAAAACCATGGCCTCCTTGTAATGGGTGAAGTCACTGGGTATGTTTGCTTGGCAAAGAGAAGATTAAAGAGGAATAAAGTCTGTAGGATCATTATATAGAAGAGCATTGTTGTTCTTGAGATGAGAAATTGTAAGAAGGCAGATATCAAGTGAGTGTAAGGAAATTCTAAGAATTAATCGAATGGGCAGCATCAGGAGGTAGTGATCTCAGTAAGTAAAGGCTGAATGGCCACATGTTGTAATGAAGTCAGGTCATGGTGTTGGAGTTTCTGTTACGTGCTAGTTTGACTGGGGATCTCAAAGGTGCCTTCCAAGTCATGTTTTTTACTAAGGCTTCATGGTGACTGCTAGTTTCTCCTCAGTTTAGTAGAGAGGAGCAGAGCCCACTACCAGGGCCACCAGAAGTCTTTGAGGCCCAAGGAGAACACAAAATTATCTCTTACCACATATTAGCATTTTTTGTGAGAGGAGCAGCAGACAGGTTAGCAATATCAGGGAAATGGTCAGATGCAGTTCAGTCATTCATTCTCCCACAGCATCCCGCTCATTTCTCAAGCACCCACTTGCTTTTCAACCTGCTCTTCCTGCTGTGGTACTGGAAATTTTGTATTTCCTTTTGAAGAACATCAGTTTCTCATTTCCTAGAAACCCTGCCTGCTGCTATTCTCCACTCGCAACTCTCACTGCTCCTATTACTCCTATTGCTAGGCACCTGCTGTTTTGCCAGCCTTTTCTTAAAACCTCTCCCTTCCTTCTCCAATAAGGATGGGCCCACAGCCCTGTGACTGAGTCCTTTGGTTACAAGGCCCTCTTCTTTGGCTTTTCCAGCATTGCCTTGATGCTTCTTTAAAGGATATTACTGGATTTTATTTTGTTTCCTTAGTGAATATAAACCTTCTGATATTATTATTATTATTATTTTTGGATGAGGTCTTGCTGTGATGCCAAGGCTGGTCTCAAACTATTCTTTCTGCCTCAGCCTCCTCCAAGTCCTTCTGATATTATTTTGAAACTTAGTATGAAGGTATCAGAAAAGTTTCAATGTGCTTGTCTTTGTTTTACCATCTGAAGACTGTTTTCTAAATTGGATAGAGGAGGAGGATAGAAATTGGCTGATATTCCTATAATCTATGGTTAAAAGATGGAAGAAAAGAGAAATGAATTCATGAATCCATTTTGATTTGATTCTTTTCATCTTTGTGTTGCCCCGTTCTGGATCATTTTTCCTCTTTTCCACCGAGAATGTGCTGACTTTCCGTCTCCTTTCCTCCATGTGTTCCTGTATTCTTGGCTGTTCTCTGTTGGTGTGCCACCTTTCTCCTGTTTGGGAGGGCTTTGGGAATGAGTACAGTTAAATGTTGAAACTCCAAAGTCGGGAATGTATCTGTTGCTCACTTCGTATGTGTGTTTTTACTTCCTGGTGGTCACTATCACTAGAATCCTGCAATGATAAGTCGAAGTTGAAAGGCCCCTTGTCTGGTCAAAGCAGTGAAGGCAGCACACCCAGCTCTCTGTACCTGGAGTATGGTAAGTGAGTACTAGGAAGGCCAGGGCTAAAATTGTGTCTTTTCTCTGCTCTCTCCTTGTGCCTGCTAAGCTGTAAGCTTTGGGGTTCATCTCAGCTCTGTGGAGGGTATGCACTGTACAGTCTCACCCACCCTTTTGTCATTTTCAACCCCTGTGCTAGAAGTCACACCTACCTGCCATTTCTCTTGCTCCTCTCTGACTTCGGGTTCCCACCCTGTGTTATGCTCTGCGTGTTATCACCCTGTGTCAGTTGATCCAGATGGAATGGCTCTTAGAGTGGGTGCGAGGGACCTTGAAAAGAAGCCCTGGAACATCTGGGCTTAATTACCAGAAGACAAGCTCTACATGGAAATCAGACACAGGAGGAAGCCATTTGTGTCCTTTTCTGATTGTCAGTACAGGGTTTTTAAAATTTATTTCACTTATTTTTTTATTTTTTATGGGGTAGAAGGTAAAGTATGTTGTCTTTAAATTTAGATGGTAAAAGGATTGTCTCCAGGCTCTATTATTCCACCATTCTCCAACCAAGAGGCTTATTGCTTTGGGATTCTAAGAGTCTGAGTAATTCCTTTAGAAGGTAGAAGGTATTTTCTTTTCAACCTCTAATTCCCAGTTACCTGGGAAGACTTGGGAACATCTTTAGTGATAAATCTTCAGACTTCTCAAAGTAGCTTGGCTGTTACAGATTTGCATTTCAAGTCAAAGTTTTTTATGTCCATGTTCCATTTTCTCACAGAGGGTGGTCAGTACCAGTGCTCAGGGGAAGGCATGTTCCGAAGACCATCAGAAGGACAGTCGCTCATCAGCTACCTCTCTGAGCAAGACTTTGGCAGCTGTGCAGACCTGGAAAAGGTGAGGAATCTAAGGGGCTGAAGAGCTTATGAGTTGGGACATCTGGCCTGAGGGTCTGTGGTACCATTTGTTCTAATGAAATTTTGGGTACACAGCAGTGACATGAATATAGAACATAGTAAAGATAAGTTCACAGTGAATATGAACTCAGCAAGTTCTATTTCCAGGGAACTCTTCAGGAAGTGTGTACTCCTTGTTGAGTCTAAAATATTATCGATTTTATCTTAAAAGCCAACCTGGGCAGAGAAACCTTGAATTTTTACCACATTATTGTTGTTCCCTTGACCCTGGAACTTTAGGTAAATACTGTTTCCAGAACCAACATCTATATTTTAGTCTAAGGCTCAGATATATATTATAATATATAACATCCGTGTAGCATTTTATAGCTTACAAAGCACTTTTATCTTGAGACATAGCATTTACCTTAATACTTCACATACAAGCGTATGACTTTGGGAAAGAGCCTGATTGAAATCCTGGGCTTCTTCTCTGTCATATTTTTATGTAGAAAGTGGGACAGGAGGGGATAGGCATGGCCAGGTAAGAGAGCAAAGAGAATCTGGAACAAGTTTTCTGGCTATCAGCTTTCGTTATAGTAAAAATGTATATTTCCCCTGGGTGTCTTCAGTAAAAGCGGTACATATCTTGGAAGCTCCACTTTCTAACATTGTAATCAGTGAGGCATTCAACATTCTAACCCCTTGCTGAGCAACTTCTTTGGTACTCTCCTTCCCCCAGGAGAATGCCCACTTCAGCATCTCAGAGTCCTTGATTGCCGCCATTGAGCTAATGAAATGCAATATGATGAGCCAGTGCCTAGAAGAGGAGGAAGTAGAGGAAGAAGACAGTGATAGAGAAATCCAGGAACTGAAGCAGAAGATCCGCCTTCGGCGCCAACAGATCCGAACCAAGAATATGTTCCCCATATACCAGGAGGCTGAGCATGGAAGTGAGTGAGGCCTATGACCACCTCTGTTCCCACAGTTGTAAGCCTTCAGAATAAGGCTTGGTGCCTTGTGGGTTTTCTTTTTGGTTTTCATTTGGAATATTATACCCAAACCAAGGGTTCCTCTACTGTCAGGAAGATAATTCTATGTTGTTCTGGTTTTTTCCTATCATGCCAGGAATACTCATCCTAGAGTTCGTCCATTTCCTACATCAGAAATACCATCCTTTCAAAATAGGTTTCTTTTTTTTTTTTTCTTTTGAGATAGAGTCTTGCTAAGTTGCCCAGGCTGGTCTCGAGCTACTGGACTCGAGTGACCCTCCTGCCTCAGTTTCCTGAGTTCCTGGGATTACAAGCACATGCTACCATGCCTAACATCAAAATAGGTTTCTGATATGAGGAGAACTAAGGACCCTGGTCCCAGATTTGCTTCCCAGATAGGAGTACCTTCTGTTTACTTAAAACTTTCTAAAGGAATAAACAAGCAAGAAGTGCTAGTTTCCACTTCAACAGTATCACTCGCAGCCAAGGTTCCATTTCTTTTTGTTGAATCATACCAGGTCCCTTTTATTTATTTGTTTATTTATTTACCATAATTCAGACATCGAGGGTACCAGGTCCCTTTTATTGGGATACCTCTTTCTATCCTATTTATTACTTTTTTTTTTTTTTCAAATACAACAGGCTTTCGAGTCACCTCCAGCAGCTCCCAGTTCAGTTCACGTGATTCGGCGCAGTTCTCTGATTCTGGCTCTACTGATGAGGTTGATGAATTTGAAATCCAAGGTAAGAAGTGACACTTTGTTACAAGGGAGCTTTCATTACCTGTTTCTTTCAATTTAGAATCATAGGCTGAGAAGCTTTTCCTGAGTAAAAGATTTTCATTATGGTCCATTATGAATTATTGTCAGCTATTTTAAGGGACAGCCTCTCTTGCTAAAAACAAAACCCCTTTAAAATTTAAGCAGAAAAAAACACTGAAAGGAAGTGATCTAGATGGAGTGGGCTGGCTGTTCGAGTCCTCAGTTATATCTTTCTCTTGGGTTCTCACTCTGATTCTTTTGTCTAGCTCCTAGGGTAGGCTCATACCACATGAAATTAGAATCCTATTCTCCTGTGCTCCGTAACACAACTGAAATTGTTTCAAAGTGTTCAAAAGAAGCTTTACTATAATGCTAAGAGAAAAGGACAAAAAGAATCATGTCGGGGGTGGGGGGGAGGGAAGTGAAAAAGGAAAAAAAAATCCAGTTTATAAAATAGAGCTTTAATTTGTGTCATACCAGTACTAACTTGCTTAGCAGAATCATAGGCTCTTTCTGTTGTTGTTGTTATTGTTATTGTTGTTAGCATAGAGAAGGGGAAGAGTTCTAATCTGGGAAGGCAGTTGTGTTAAATCAGACTAATGTCCCATTCCTGCAAATCATAGATTTCTTCAAATTCGCATCAGCAAAACAGACAAACAAAAAAACAGTTCAGGGACATAAGCTCTTCCATCATGGGTGTAACCAAGAGTAGCTTCCTAACAGAGGTGAATTGTATCTATAGTTCTCTACTACAACACACACACATACACACACAGGTGAACTGTTTCCATAATTCTATATCATAACATTGGAACATGGTGATGAATAGATCTTTTATTACATGAAGCTCTGATTTCCTTTTTATACCAATCTAGAGAACCCACTCACCTGCACAGACCTCCAGATGCAGGTGCCAGGTTTCTTCACCCTTTACAAATTCAGTGTTCACACATATTTTCCAGGTCTCCAGGAAGTCTTCCTTCTGTGTTCTCCTTAATGTATCTGATTTCTGTTCATGACAATAATAGGTTGTCACTTAAAACTCCATTTTTTTCTTTGTTTATATGTGGTTTTCCATTAGTTCTCCAATTCTTCACCATTAGCTGGGTGTCCTACAATTCAGTTCTGACACTAACTACCTGGAGTTAGCACAGATCCCACAGATTAAGGGTTCAGTCCGGCAAGATTAATCTCACTTCAGATGCCAAAGATAAGTAGGGTTACCAGGCCACCTGGACTTTTGCTTCATTGGCTACAAATTCAGGCGTTCCCATGACCCCCTTACCCCATGTTCAATAATTCACTAGAATGACACAAAATTTAGGAAAGTGTTATGATTATAGTTTATTATAAAGGATACAAATAAACAGCCACATGAAGAGGTACGTAGGGCAAGGTCCTGAAGAGTCCTGAGCACAGGAACCTTTGCCCCTGTGGAGTCAGGGTGCTTCACCTTCCCGGTGCATTGATACGTTCACCAACCAGGAAGCTCCCCCAAACCTCTTCATTCCAAGTTTTTAATTCACATTTTATTATGCAGGCATGATTGATTAAGTCATTGGCCATTGGTAATTGAGCTCAATCTTCAGCCCCTCTCTCCTTCCTGGAGGTGAAGGGGGAGTGAAAGTTCAAATCCTCTAATCATGTGACTGGTTTTTCTGGTGACCGGCTCCCATTCTGAAGCTATCTAGGGGCCTGCCAAGAGTCACCTTATTAGCATACACCCAGGTATGATTGAAAGGGGGCTCCTTTTAAATAATAAAAGTCATTGCTATGATTCAGGATATTCCAAGGGTTTTAGGAGCTCTGTGCCAGGAACCAGGGACAAAGATCAAATAAATTTCATTATACCATAGTCTGTGATTGACTTGATCTTCTAATTAGAAGAAAATAAGATGGTTCTGCCCTCTGTCTCAGGATGAGTAGTCAGAATTTCATGAGAGTAATATCAATGTAAATTGAGAGCATTCTGCTTTACTGGGTATGGAGCAGTCCACTTGACTATTAACTCTGTTTCCTGAAGCAAACCAGGGAGCCAGGGGCAGCAATTCAGTCTGGAAGGAGCCTGCCTACGGGAAACAAAAGTGCACTCCTGTTGGAAGCATTGCTGCAGTTGTGTGCCCTGAAGAGACGTTTAATCAACTAATTCTCTAGTCAGTTCAGAGCAGAAATCCTTAAAGGAAAAGATCTTAAGACAGGGTTTCTTAACCTCTAGACTGGATAATTCTTTGTTGTGAGGGGCTGTGCTGTGCATTGTAAGATGTTTAGCATCATCCTGGCCTGTACCAACTAGATGCCTGTAGTACCCTCCTCCCCAGTCAAGACAATCAAAAATGTCTCCAGACATTACCAAAATCACTCCTGATTGAGAACCACTGCCTGAGGAGATCCTTGATGTTAGGTTAGTATGGGAGCAATAACTATCTTTCAAACTATAGTGAGTACCTACCTGTGGACGTAACTTCTTAAAAGCCATTTCATCTTTTGAAGCAAAGATCAAGTTCTGATTCCCGGAACATGTGGTATAGAACTGTCATTCTCATCAATTTACTTCCTGTCAGAATACTAAAGAGCCCCCTTTTATAATCATTATTACACAGATGATAGCGAAGGATCTAACCTGACTCACATGTCAAAGAATGGACTCTCAGTGTCGATGGCCTCGATGTTCTCAGGTAGCCTGTGTTGGAAGTGTGGATGTGCTCATACATGCATGTGCTAAATATCGTAGCAGCTTTTTTGTATCATGTGATCAGGTGATACCTGTCAAGGTTACGAGAACTTTAGGGTCTGGAGAACTAGTTGGAAAAAACTGGACTTAAGCCAAAACAACAAGCCAGGAACAATTTAGACATTCGAATATTCTTCATATGACTCCAACAATCCTCTCAGGAAGTTTGTCCTTGTTGATTCTTCCCTGCAGTGATAATTTTAGAATAAGTGGTCATTGTGACTGATAGAGACAGTGGACAGTTTAGAAAGGAATGGTAACATAAAGAATTTTGGTTCAAACCTATACCTAAGCTACTGCTACACATTCAGATAGCAAAAGTAGGATAGAATGGTATGAAGCTTGGTGTCTCTTTTGAATTTGAAGAGCCAACTTTCAGAAAGCTACCTTTGCTTGGTACTTCATATAGAATTAGGATTTACTGCTATAAATTCTATAATTTATAGGATTTACTGCTATAAATGTTGGTTTTTAGTAATTGCTTTGTGATCTAAACAAGTAGGTTTTCTGTAGGTGTGGTTAACTGAAAGAAAGTAGCAGTTTTCTACTCAAAATGGTTTTAAAACACATAAATAACATAACTCAGAACTTTTTATTAAACAGTTGATTATGACTGTTAATATTTTCAGGCACTAGAATTTGAAATAATTTAGATTAGCTAAAGATTTACAGAAACAAAGACAAATATCGCATCTTCTCACTTACATATGGGAGCTAAAAAAGTTGATCTCAGGGAGGTAGGGGGTGGAATGGTATTTACCAAAGGCTGGGAAGGATGTGGGGGTGGGGAGTGAAGTGAGGTTGGTACAAACCTCGGTTAATGGGTACAAACATACAGTTAGATAGAAGGAATACATTGTAGTATTCGTTGGCATAATAAGGTGACTATATTTAACAACAATATATTGTATATTTCAAAATAGCTAGAAGAGAAGATTTCTAGTGTTCCCAACACAAAGAATTGATAAATGTTCAAGGTGATGGGTATCCTCGGTACCCTTATTTAATCATTACATTATGTGCAGGTATCCAAATATCACATGTACCCCATAAATATATATAAATATTATGTATCAATTTTTAAAAATTAAAAAAAGATTTAAAGGAATAAAAATAATTTGGTCCCTTTTTCTCTACTTCTGAACTTTTATAATTTGTTCTAACATTATTCTTTCCTTGCTTGAGAAGTAATTATCCTAAGTCACTTTTTAACTGGTTTCTTATATATTTATAGCCACAGTCCTTTGCTGGTACATTTATTGACTGTCAGCCACTTCTCCATCAGAGCATATTCAATCTGCTTTAATCATAAGGCATACCTTTATTCAATCTTCCTAGCATCCTTCTTTTCCCCATTTTGGGAGCTTTAAAATTTTTATACACATGACAGGTTTTACTCCAAAATATGAAACATTTTTCAATTAAAAAACTATTTTTTCTTGTGACCCACAATCTCAACACTTTATGGGTCATGAGAGGAAAGCAATCAGAACAAGTCTCTATCAAAAGTAATGACTTACGTTTTTGTGGTCCTTTCTACACACAGCTTCAATTATGAAAGTATAATTTACAGTTCATTTTTATCTACTTTAGATTTCTTTATTGCTTTTTGTTCTTTGTCATCTGTTTCTGGTCTTTCAAAAAAATGTTTATTTTTTATGTTTTAATGGGTTTTTTTAAGAGACGGGGTCTTACCGTGTTACTGAGACTGGAGTGCAATGGCACGATCCTAGCTCACCGCAGCCTTGAACTCCTGGGCTCAAGCAATGTTCTTGCCTCAGCCTCCCCAGTAGCTAGGACTACAGACATGTGCCACTATGCCCAGCTAATTTTTTGTAGAGACGGAGTCTTGCTTTTTGCCCAGGCTGATCTCAAACTACTGGCCTCAGGCGATCCTCCCACCTTGGCCTCCCAAAGCACTGAGATTACAGGTGTGAGCCACTCTGCCTGGCCCGTTTCTGGTCTTTAATCAAGTTTGTTACTGGTACCAAATTCTTTCTAAAAAGTGTCATTATACTTCACATTAGCAATCTTCCTAATCGTGTCCAGAGGTTTATAGACATGTTTCTTTTTGGTCACTGTAAGTAATTTATACTATTGAATAGTATTTGGGGATACTGTCAGAAGAAAGGTCATCAGAATCTATAATACTTTTGAAAAAAATTAAAGGACTTAAGCATCATACTATGGACATTGTCGGTGATAAATACTCAGCATATTGTAATACTCTGCTTAATGTCATCACCTTTCTTAGATCCTGGCCATATGGAACAGAAGTATTTATGAAGAAAGTAGATTTGAAAGTTACTCTCTCCTAGCAATAAAGTAGATATAAACCTTGAAATCATAAAACTTATTCATAAAAAAGCTTTGTATTAATCAACATCTATTTCTTTATTTTTAAAAATTTTTTTACAGTGCTGTCCTTCAGAAATGATATTTCTTTTTTAAAAGCAATTTTATTGTGGTATAATTTTATATATCATAATTCCCCCACTTCAAGTATACAACTCAATGATTTTTAGTAAATTTACTAAGTTGTACAACCATCACCATAATCAAGTTCTAGAACATTTTCATCTCCCCCATAAGATCCCTTGTGCCTATTCACAGTTAATTCCAGTTCCCACCTCCAGCCCAAGTCAATGACTACTCTACTATAGATTTGCCTTTTCTGGACATTTCATATAAATAGAGTCATAATATGTGATATATGATCTTTTGTATCTGAGTTCCTTCACTTCATCTATTTCTGCTGATGGTATCTGCTAAATTGGTTTGATATTACTCATAAGTTTCCAATACCAGACAGTTTTTTCAACTTCTTTGGTTTTTGTTATCCTTGTTTTTGGGTTTTGTTTTTTTTTTTCCATCTTCATCCTTTTCTATGATGGCTTCATCAATACTTCTTTATCTTCCTTTGTAGATTCTTCTAGAGTTGCAGTCTTCTGCATATGTGTATCTAGTCAAGTCCAATCAGGAGACAGAAACCATTTGAATAGGGAAAGTTTAGTATAAAGAATTATTAGCTATAATGAGAGATTGATGTAATGGGAGATTGGCTCATGAGAAGTAAAGGGAACTCTAAAGAATACAGGAGAGCAGATAAGAGATAGTGCATCTGGGGAAGGAACAAATATGTAAGAGGGCCACATCCCCAAGGCTGAGATCCAGACCTCCTGGCTTACTGGATGGTGGAGAAGTTCTCTGAAGCACAGAGCTGCCCCAAGGTAGTACCAGGGGACACTATCCATGAGGAGATGCCATGCCAACAACTCTTGCTAGGAAACTGTTCTCTAGAGTGCTGGGAGAGGCTGCCCCCAGGGAGATGTTGGGCCTCGGGACTCAAGGAGTACTGGGGAAAATAGTTCATGTGGAGGTGCTAGGCCTATGGCACTCACTGTAAAGCTCTCCCAGGAAGCTGCCCCAGGGAGTACCAAGGAGAGCTGTTTATAAGAGGTACCACTCCTGGCACTCTGCTGCAAAGCTGCCCAAGGCATGCTTCCCCAGGGAAATTCACATGCACTACAGGAGTCAGCCTAGAGGAGCACACCAGAACCAGCATCCCTCCAGTGCCCTCTACTGACAGAGCTTAACGTCGGGCCAGCTGCCAAAAGAACCATTTATGGATCCAGCTCCATTATAGCAGAGCAAGCAAAAATAAGGGCAGATTTGGAGCTGAAAAGAAATAAATTGATAGCTGGCATAATATATAAAGACAAAAGTTCATGAACTGTAATTTCTGACAAGTTTTAAAATTATATCCAATTCAAGGTAATCAGTTGCTTCTCCGCCTCCTCCTGCTTTTTTTTTTTTTTTTTTTTTTTTTTTGAGACAGAGTCTCACTGTGTTGCCTGGGCTAGAGTGCCGTGGCGTCAGCCTAGCTCACAGCAACCTCAAACTCCTGGGCTCAAGCAATCCTCCTGCCCCAACCTCCCGAGTAGCTGGGACTACAGGCATGCGCCACCATGCCCAGCTAATTTTTTCTATATATTTTTAGTTGTCCAATTAATTTCTTTCTAATTTTAGTAGAGATGGGGTCTCGCTCTTGCTCAGGCTGGTTTCGAACTCCTGAGCTCAAACAATCCGCCCGCCTCGGCCTCCCAGAGAGCTAGGATTACAGGCGTGAGCCACCCTGCCTGGCCTCCCCCTGCCTTTTTAATCAATTTTTTTCTCTTTTTAAAACAAGAATAATTGTGGTTCTCTGCTTTAAAGTGTTTCCTCTTGAGTTAGCGATTACAGAAAATTCATTAGAGTTGGATTCCCAGATGTATTGGATTTGACCTTACCTGCTAGAAGGAAAACAGGATGGGAAGCAACATCAAACTGGTCAGTAAAGTCTGAGGCTGACTCTTCCTGTGCCTCACTTATTTTATTTAAACATTTGCATATTTTGCTAAGGTACCAAGGTTTTAACTACTTCTTTCCTGATCACCCAATACCAGTGTCTGAACATGCAGCAAATTCTTCTCCTTATAATATGTCATTGTTTTTGTTGTTGTTTGTTTTTATATTTTTTAACTTTTTTCAGTCAGTAATAATAGCCTTATCCTATCTAAAGCATTAAAAGTGCTTGAAATCAGATCTTTTGAAAAAATATATTAGTTTTTGTACAAAAAATCAATAAAAAGTTTCATAATTATGTTTAATTCCACTTGAAGGGTTAGTTTCTTGGACTCCTTCTGAAGTGCTCTCACTTGGGGTACATTTAATCCATCCAACTGAATAGCTTCCTCCTCTCTCTTTTCTCCTAAATTATCTATCTGTCTTAGACCCTGGTCTGCTTTCACTCAGATCCTTAACTAGTGTTCCCACCATGTCAACTTAGTCATCTGCTTGAACTGACTAGAGAGTCAGCAAGATATAGTACAGGCCCACTATCCATAGAGCTCTATGGTACTTGGACAGTGTCAAGCATCATGTCCCCTTTGAAATCAAGTGCTACCTCTCCCCATCCACCCCTGGAGGTAAGAGTTTTACCTCCAAAGCCATGTGGTCCTCTGCACTCTTGGAAGGATTCATGATTAGCTAGGAACTCCTGCACATACCTTGGACCTTGTTGTACCTCTGGTAGAAAAAAAAAAAGGAGCAAATGTGATAAATATATTTTCTAAAAACAAGGGAATGATTTTTTTTTTCTCTCAAAGAAAAAAAGACTTCCTCTCTATGAAGGTAAAGAACTTTTAAATAGTTTTATAAATACAGAGGTTCCTTAGCAACCATGAATTATCACCCTCTCTCTTCTCTCTAGTGTGTACTATTTTCTTTAATAACCTGGTGCTAAAGTAACAGAATCGGTTAGCTCTTTATTCAGGGCTATCTGGCTAAGGTTTTCTCATTTCTTTCCTTTCTATTATTCCTAAACAGGATGAAATTTGCAAAAGCTTTTAATTGCTTTTAGCCGATAAATCATTTATTTAGGAACTATTTTCTATAAACCTATTATGTACAAAGCACTGTGAGAGTTACTAGGACAAGGCAGTACTTGTGTACAATCCACGGCAGTGTTAAGTGTTATCCGCAAACCAAATGGTCTACGACGGTCTAGTCTACTGTTTCCTACACATTTTTTCTTTTCTTTAATAGCACCACTTAGATGGAAATAGATAGCTAGCAGTGAATTGGGATCTGGATTTTGGTGATGCAAGTTCAGACAGAAAATATGATTATATATGAACATCTTTGTTGTTAAATAAAATAGACTTTGTTAATTGCTAGCAAAAATGTATTGTCCTGTTTTTCTGTGCTTAGAGAGCATGTGAAAGTACAGATTTCAATCCTGTTATCTTATTCACGTATATAGCTTTGAAGACATTAGTTTATCAGCAATATTATTTGAGCATATGCTTGTATACAGAGCCCTGTGTTAAGTATTTTAGAGCCAAAAGAAGAATTAGAAACAATCTCATTTCCTCACAAGGAGATTTTATAATCTAGTTGGACATACAAAAAATCTATATACAGGGGAAACATTTGAGGAACAATTGAGCTACCCATGGCCAAATGCAGAGTGATGTCATATAAGCTTAGTGCTCTATTGAGTGCTCAGACACAGTAGATTGATCACTGTAGGCTTAATTAGGAAATAAAGATCTTTTCACTGGGCATCAAAGGAAGAGATGGTATTTATCAGAATAGTCTTGTTTTCATGACTTAGATAGGCTCTGTCTTCCTTTCTTGAACATGACTGCTGCATTTCACATTCCCCTCTGTCAAAAGTGGAGGGGCATGTTAATTTTAGAAATTAAAGATGGGATCTCTCTGTGTTACCCAGTCTGGAATGCAGTGGCTAGTCACATGTGCAATCATAGCATACTATAGCCTCAAACTCCTGGGCTCAAATGATCCTTCTGCCTCAGCCTCCTAAATGGCTGGGAGTACAGTCATGTGCCATAGCACCCAGCTTCCACATACATTTAATGAGTAACCCCTATGACACAAGTTATGTGTTAAGTACTAATCATTATGTATATATATAAAAAAGAGCCACATAGAGTTATGGCCTCTGTGAGCTTGCCATTTAAGAAAGCTTGAGATTTAGAGAATGAGGGAGAAATTTGAATCATTCATTTTATATTTCTGCTTGCTAGAGGTTTTGTCCCTGTGTGCCTTAGGATGATTCCTTTTCTCACTCACTGTTTTAGACCAAGTCTGGGTTTGTGTTTCCACCTGGATTTGTAACACTTTGACCTTTTCAATGCTATGCATAATGTCACTAATTCATTCTGGTTTTGACTTGAATAGAGCTAAATTATAAGTTGTGTTTAGTGCTTCACCTGCTCCTTATCCTGCATAGAATGTAGCACCTACCTGCTACCCTGAGTGCTTAGCTTACAAAATGCCTTGTGATGGTTTCATTATCCCTTACCCCCTCCCTTTCCATTCCTGCTCCCCTCATCTCTGGTTTCCGTTTAGATGCTGACATCAGAAGGAGCACAGCCTCAAGCAGCAAATCCTTCATTTCTTCTCAGTCCTTGTGAGTACTTTTTTTTTTTTAATAAAACTTTGGGATATATGAAGAGACAAGCCCAGTTCTTTGCATGTTGGTAGGAACAGTCATGGGAAAAGCCATCTAAATTCACAAAGAGGCAAGGTTAAAGTGACAGGCCGGCCTGATAGTGGTAAGCCCAAGGGGAGAGAGCAGAAGATCTTTGGTCCAAACAGGATGAACTCTCATGGAGACAAAGCTCAAAATGTGAATTTTTCCTTCTTGGCTGACTCTGTTCATAACGAGAGCTCCAGAAAAGAGAGCAGTGATTGTGATTTTTGTTATGAAATCAAATTGAACAGGTTCTACATTGTAGACCCAAGTAGGGGAAATAGTAGCTCATTTAGGAGGAAAAATAGCTCTTTACAGTCCACAGAGCTTTTTTACTCGCTTTATTTTATAAGCAGGCATTATAATCTCCGTTTTGCAGTTAAAGAAACTAAGGTTCAGAGAAAGGAAGTGACAGAGTCCTTAATTAGCTGTGCCATGTAATACCAGTAAGTGGAATTTGAACCTAAGTCTTAGGACTGTGAGACCAGTATATTTGTCACTGCACATGTGTGAGAAGATGACGAGAAAAGCAGCTGAGCAGACTAGGGGTGCTGCAAGTATTCTCTCGGCCCAGAAGTTACTGTGTAAGATATCAGGTCCTGAAGGGAAGGCTCCCATCCACCTTTCATGTCCCCATGCTCAGCTTCCCTTGATCCTCTCCTTTCCAGCTCCCACTGCTTCCTACACTCCACATCTGCTGAGGCAGTGGCCATGGGGCTCCTGAAGCAGTTTGAGGGGATGCAGCTTCCAGCTGCCTCAGAGCTGGAATGGCTAGTCCCAGAGCATGATGCTCCCCAGAAGGTAGGCTCTTCAGCTCTTCTTCCCTACCCAGGAGGCTGTGAGCCTTTCTGATCTTGTCTCCTTTGTCATATGTCCCCAGTCTAGAATGAGCCTGTGTGTTTCCTTTCTTACTCATAGAAGCCATTTATTACAAATGTGTTGAGTGCTTGCGTGCTTGCGTAGATTTTCCCTAGCAATCGTCAAAACAAGAGATAAAGGTTCCTTCACTGTCCTTATTCCACATGACAGTGCTCACTAGACCCAAAGGTACAACTCTTGTTTTGTGACTACCTTTGAGACACTATGAAAGTGAATAGTGCAGACTCTTCTTTGCTCTGCAATTGAGTTTCTAAGGCATGAAGCACATGGCATACCAAGGGTCCTGAGATGAGTGCAGGGATATCATCAGCAATAGGTGCCACCACCTGGGATGCTGGCTTTGATTGCTTCTTGGAACCCAGCGCCCTCACGTCCAATACCCTGGTGCCTCCTGGTTGGTTTTGAGGGCCAAGGTTTCCTAAAACCCTTACCCTGTGGTATTCCTGAAATGTCTTTGATTAACTATGCTCTGTCATGGCCAGAAACATGGAGCATTTGCGTTTCTCCGGACCATGCATGTTAGCTCACTCTGTGCTTTTCTTCTGTAGCTCCTGCCCATCCCTGATTCATTGCCCATCTCACCGGATGATGGGCAGCACGCTGACATCTACAAGCTGCGTATCCGTGTTCGTGGCAACTTGGAGTGGGCCCCACCGCGGCCTCAGATAATTTTTAATGTTCATCCAGCCCCAACGTGAGTAGCCAGCATCTCTGCCCTTTGGAAAACAAATACATCCTCTTTGGATTGTCAGGGCTTTCTCCTGTCCCTGTTGTCTCTGCCTCCAGCTGTACTTCCCACACAAATCTGTCCATTTAAAGACGGAGGAAGAGGATTATCCATTTCATCCTTAAGTTCTCACTCCAAATCCTCCTCTTCCTTCCCAGAGCTAATTGGAAATGAGGCCTTTTTTCCACTGGCATGCCTCACCTGTTGCCTTCCTCCAAATAGATTTGTGAGCTTACTGGTTTTTCTTTTCCTTTTAAGATGGATGGATGCTATTTTCTGCTATTGTTCTCTCCCCTTCACTATTTCTCATCCCTTATAGTTGTCCAGAAAGTGTGGTTCATTATTAGGGAGAGTCACTGCCTAAACCTAAATCCTAACTTAATCTTCACTTTGATTTAGTTCTCCCAATAGCTTCATTTGGTCCAACTAAAACAAGAGGTGAATTACCCTCCCTTCCCACACTTTATAAGAGTTCTACATTTGTATCTTCATCCTTTATACCTCAGAGGCCGTATGCACCTGCTATCTGCCAATCCCCTCTCCTTCCCCTTCCTTAGGAGGAAAATTGCTGTGGCCAAGCAGAATTACCGCTGTGCGGGATGTGGCATCCGGACTGACCCTGGTGAGTATCTTCTGTTACCACCATACTGCCTCCAAGGGCTTTAGCCTCTCCCACACCTAGGACAGAGGGCTTGTCAGAGGTAGTAAGAGGAGGTGACAGGGCAGAATTGTGGAAGGGGAAAGAAGGGGCCTGGAGGGGAAGGGTAGGACCAGGAATGAGCACTGGCAATCAAAAGGAAATTATTTCTGGGAGCACATTACCAGGATTGTTTACTGGATAAAGTTGGGTAGTTTCAGCTAGGTTCTTGGAGACTGAGTCTTGGCAGGTTTTATTTCCCCAGTGGCCTCCTGGGTGGGACGTAGGTACCACAGGCCCCACTATGTGGGTTTCTGTCAGCTTTGGGGAGCCCACCAGAGGTGGCTGGAGGCCACTGGCCGTCCCTCCCTGCCCTTTCGAGGGAGTAGCCTTACCAGCTTACAGGTAGGAAAGTCTCATCTGGCCCTTTGGCTTTCCCATTTTTCCAGATTATATCAAGCGGCTACGGTACTGTGAGTACTTGGGCAAGTACTTCTGTCAGTGCTGCCATGAGAATGCCCAGATGGTCATCCCCAGCCGGATTCTACGCAAGTGGGACTTCAGCAAGTACTATGTCAGCAATTTCTCCAAGGACCTGCTCATTAAGATCTGGAACGATCCTCTCTTCAATGTGCAGGACATCAACACTGCCCTCTATAGGAAGGTCAAGCTGCTCAATCAAGTCCGAGTAAGACCCTTGAAAAGGCCACATCAGAGATTCTTACCTTTCTCCTCTCCTCATCCTGTCCCTCTGTTCATACAGGACTTTCCAAGCTCACCACAATTCTCATTATCATGATTTCAGAGCTGTAACTGTGTCATCGTTCATGCTCTCCCTATGTACTTTCTTAATCTCTTCCCATTCCCCTGGTATCTTTCTAGTCAGAGCCTCAAACCTGGCAATGGCAACTCTGAACCTATAGATAGTGCTTAATGGCAAAAGCAGAATTTCTCCCTTCACTGAAAATATTACTGAGTGGAGAATTGGGTATTAACTGGGAAATTCGAATTCTGGAATTCTCAGCTGCTCCGGGCTATGTTTGTGATTTGTGCAGACTGACCTGGCAGAGGGGCCTTCCGAGAATGGAGATCACTTTGAAGCAGGTTGTTGAGTTAGATAGAGGTGTAGAGGACAGTCTGATCTGCCTGCTGCGTGCAAAACTTCCATACCGCCAGGGTTTCAAGACACCGGTCTTTCTAACAGTTGATTCTCTCCTCTTCTCCACAACCCCCCCACCCCACCCACACTTTTTCTTCAGCTGCTGCGGGTCCAGCTGTATCACATGAAGAACATGTTCAAGACATGCCGGCTGGCCAAAGAGTAAGTCTTGTGTGGAGGCCAGAGTCCTTTGGTGGAGTAAATGTCTCTGAAAGGGACATGTCCCAGCAGGCTCTTGTTATGTGAAGGAGAGTAGAGGGATTTTGCAGAAATGTAAATGGTAAATGAGAAGCCACAGCAGTAACTGTATCTGTATCCTTCTCTCTTGAAGGGGAAATCTGTGGTTCTTCTATCCAGAGCAGGCCACCACTCTTTGCAAGTTGGCATGGATCACTCTGCAGGAGGTTATAAATAAGTCACTTCTATCATCCAGACACCTGGTAGTGTGGGAAGGCTGAGGTGGCCTGGAACACTTGGGCTGGCTGAATCTTGCCCGCCCTTGTTACTTTATCTCTCCTGCATTTCCAGATAGGGAACCTTCTGCTGTGATGTGCCACAGAAAATGTTCATTCTCTCCCCTGCCCGCTTCCCCTCATTTCCTGTAGACTTCTGGATTCCTTTGACACAGTCCCAGGCCACCTGACAGAAGATCTCCACCTGTACTCACTGAATGACCTGACTGCAACCAGGAAGGGGGAGCTGGGGCCCCGGCTTGCTGAGCTCACCAGGGCAGGGGCTGCCCATGTAGAACGGTGCATGGTGAGAAAGTCTTGCTTTAACATGCAGCTGAGCCCTTAGGGAAATAGGGAGTGGGGTGGACCCAGGGTTCTTGCCTTTTAGCTCCAGGAAGTTGACGTGGCCGGTCAACACTGTGAGAGAAACTGAAGAAGGTTGCTGTTCCAGCTAAATCATCCAGATGTAAAGGACCTAGAATTAGAAGAGGAATTGGTGCTGGCGTTACCCCTGGGTAGTTCCAGGCAGGACTGAGCAGACTTTCACTAAAGAATTGCCATGATGTGGGAGGAGAACCCTGGAATCTGGAGAGAGATTCTAATCTGGGTCTTGGCTTTATTATTTTCAATCACTGTGACCAAAAGAAATACTTTGTCTTCCCTGAAAGAAGATAATAACTATACACACTTTCCTCTCAGCATTTTTGAAAATTGTTGAAACAAATTACGTGATGGCATTTTGTAAGCTTTTTTCTTTTGACAAGGTCTCACTTTATTGCCCAAGCTGGTCATGAACTTCTGGGCTCATGGGATTGTCCTGCCTCAGCCTCCCAAGTAGCTGAGACTACAGGAGCGTACCACCACGCCTAATTTTTTATGTTTGTAGAGATGGGGTCTTGCTGTATTGCGCAGGCTAGTCTCAAACTCCTGAGCTCAAGTGATCCTCCCGCCTCAGCCTCCTGAGTCACTGGGATTATGGGCGTGCACCGCGGTGCCTAGCTCTTGTCTCCTCTTTAAAGCTTTGTCTAACACTGCCCAGCCTGGCCCTAGTTTGGCTTTCATGTTTCTAAGTCCAGCCCAGGCTTCTTCCCTTAGCCCACTCAATTTTTGTTTATATTTTGCTCCTCCCTCCCTGGGGTTCACCCTCCTGTGCCAGTTCCTGATGTGCTACCTCTCATTTTGCTACCTGTCTCTTTCCTCCCCAGCTCTGCCAAGCCAAGGGCTTCATCTGTGAGTTCTGTCAGAATGAGGAAGACATTATCTTTCCTTTTGAGCTCCATAAGTGCCGGACCTGCGAAGGTGAGGGCTGGTGCCAGGAGTGGCACAAACAAGACTGAACACAAAGCTCATTGATTTCCCATGAGCCACCCTGTTAGCAAGAGTTTGGTTTGATTAAGCAGTTCCCCGTGTTTCTCCACCAGAGCACTGAGCCATGGTGGTGAGAAGGGGCAGTGGTGGTGACTTACTTCCTGCTTGAGATAATACAAATTGTTTTCTTCTCTCTCCCACCTTCCCAACCCGAATAGAGTGTAAAGCATGTTACCATAAAGCTTGCTTCAAGTCTGGAAGCTGTCCGCGGTGTGAGCGGCTGCAGGCCCGGCGGGAGTTGCTGGCCAAGCAAAGCTTGGAGTCCTGCATGTCAGACTATGAGGAGGAACCCACTGAAGCCTTGGCCCTGGAAGGCACCGTCCTGGAGACGACCTGAAGAAAGCACATTAAGCCCTCTACCTAGAGGCTGGGGTCATACATAATGCGGAACTGAGCCACGCTTTTAAGGACTTTCCCCACTTGGGGCTCTTTTTTTTTTTTTTTTAAATTATCATCATTATTATTTTTTATGCCTTTTCTGATGTCTGTGTGTAGTCAGCCTTTGATAGGTTGATGGGGTCCAGCCTGTTGTGACAGATAAATTGTAAGCACCAGATATTTCCGTCAGAACTGACATGTAGGTTCTTACGTGAAGCTTTCACTGTCAGAGGAATGGACAGCAAGACCCAATTCTTCCGACATACATGGCCTTCTCTCCTAGGACCAGATCTGGTTTCAGCCGTATCTCAAGTGTCACTTCCAGTTTTATTTTGTTTTATTTCTGGAGATTCTGAGCCAGGCCTTTCTTAACCAACTCTCTTCTTTGCTGCTAAAACAGGGGGATGGAGTTTTCTCTCTTCTAATTTTGGAACAGGGTCAGACTCTGCCCTGATGAGGAGAAGCAGCAGAGAATGGGACTACATCATGGGCATTCTTTCCAGCTTATTTCAGTGTTTTGGGGGCCATAAAAACAGAATCATTGCTATCCTAGAATCCTCAGATACCTCAGAGAGGCATCCATGACTTCTCTGTTTGAAATATTCTAGGCATAGATGATCTCACAGTTGACTTTCTTTGTCTACCCTAGTGTGCTTGAAGCAAAGAACAGAACTTATTTGTAGTCTTATACCACAAGCATAATTGAGGCTATGACTCTGTTGCTTAAGGAGTATTTAGTCAGTGACAGGAGCTATTGGCCTTCTCTTTTAACCTAGGTCCCTTTTAACCTAGTCCTTTGGTGAAAGTATGATCTTTCGAGCTTAGGCAAGTCCCTAATGCCATGCTAAGGTGAGGACAGAAACCCCACACAACATCTTAGTGGGTCCCTTCCTACCCTGTCCTCTGTTAGATGGTGATTATGGTTCTGAGTAAAAGTATGGTCCAACTCCTTTCTGTCTTTCCTTCCTGCAACAGAACTGGGACCCTCCTTGGTGGCTGAGTGTCTCTTGCCTTAGTTTCTTTTGTCAAAGTTGGGGGGAAAGCTTCCTGCTATTAGTGGTGTTATAAAACTTGACAGTTCTGGGTGTGTGTGAATGTTCTTATGTTCTTGGGATAACAAGAGCCTTTATGCCAATTATGCACTTAACTCTTTATCCAGCTTGATGATATTTATATGTTCAGTCATCTTTTTCATATTATTGATTTTAGTATTACCCCATCCCCACCACCTTTTTAATGTGTATTTTGAGGGGAAGAGTTCTTGGATGGGACGGTGTACATGTCTGTGGTGGTCTTTTAAGTTGCTATAGCTTCTAACCTTTATGAAAAACACTGGTCAGGGTTGTTCTCCAACAGCTGGCAGCTCTGTGAACTAAATCCCACACAATTTTTCTTCTGTGATTGACTTCTTCCTGTGTACCTGTCTTCCCATAGTTGGTTGCTAGTAGAAAAAAGTTGGCCTGGGTGCTGCCCCAGGAAGCTGAACAGAAAGTTGCACATGGTTGGTGGAAGCTGACGAGTGCCTGAGTGGCAGGTAACAAGGAGTCTCCCAAGGAAGGAGGAGGGGCATTAAGGTGATGTCCAAACTGAGGCTCCACCAGAGCAAGAGGGAACATGTAGGAGTTGGCCTATGGTGTTGGTGCCTCTGCCTTAAACTTGGGATCTGAAGGCTGGAAGACCCTGAGGCTGTTCTCCCTTCAGTTCATGGTGAAACTAAGAAGCCAAGGCCCAGCCCACTTTTGAGAGCTAACTAGAAACTCCCTTGTCCTTCAAGGAACTTTGGGAATGACCCCACAAAACTCAAGTCTCACTAAGGGTCAGACCCCAGATTCAAACCTGGGTTATAAAGATGGTGAGCTCTACTTCCAGTTTTGCTTTAAATTACAAATCCACTCCTTACTCCAAGTCACTACACTGGAGGAGAGATGTACTCTCTTGTCCTGCCTGTTTCATATGAGCATAGGATGAAAAGATGAAAAATGCTGACACAGTTCCTAAAGCTGAACTCAGCAGCCTTGTGAGCTCCCAATTTTCACTTATTTTTCTTCACCTCCTCCATCCTATCCCTTTAGATTGTGTACCTGTTTTAGTGACCCTGATGCTACACTGTCATCACTTTCCAAACACCCATTTATTTATTTATTAGAGAGTGGGGGAGAGAGGGCAGAGGATGGGATGTTTTGAAAGCACTTTGTAATTTATCAGTATCTGAAAATCTCCTGCTGTTGTGGGGAAATTTGAATGCACTGAAGAGAGTTCCTTCTAAATGAAATGGGAGGGAAGTGTTCTTTACTGTAAATAAAGAGAAAAACCAGTTTGCTTCCAAGGTAGAGACAAGATTCAAGACATAGCAGAAGAGTGGAAGGCAAATATATTCCACTTAAATGAGGCTGTTATTGACTTTCTCTGCCAAAGCTTTAGCACTTCTGTTGAATTAACATAAAAGGAGCAAGAGTCTAAACAGAGATGTTTCTTGTGTGTACAACTTTTGTTTTGAACTGGATTTCCACTTTGCTGTAGTTCTCGCACAGCCTCAGTTCATTGTCATCTTTAATAAACTAAGGAAATGAAATTCTGCCTTTTGTTTACCTGCCTTGACTGTTGAGGAATGGTACTGAGTGTCTCCTGTAAAGCAGGCATGTCTGAAAATTAAGAAGGTTTCTTATTATACAGAGCAAGTTGGACCATACAAGTCCAGAAAAGTGAGTTGGAGTGCTTTGTCATGGACTTGCTGTGAGACCTTGAGTGAATCACTTCACCTCTCTGGATTTCTGTTCCTTCGTGTGTACAATGACAGGACTAGGCTTTGTGACACAGTCCTTTCCAGTGCATGGGGTATGTGCCCTCTGCCCATACCTTTGGTGTAACTCTCACATAAAGTGAGGTCTGTCTTCCTCTCCGCTAACACCCGAATTGTCTTAGATGCTTCAGTTCCCACTGCTGTGAGCATCTGCCTCTGGCTTTCTCTCTTATACTCCTGGTCTACCGGAGCTCCATCTCCATCCTGCAACCTCGTGAACATTTCCCCTTAGCTATCCCCTTGACGTCTCCAACCAATATGTCTAAAACCAACATAAGTATCATATTTCCCAAAACCTAACCATTAGTCACCCAGGTTTCAAAATTTAGTTATATTCAGCTTCCTCTCTGAGTCAAGTGGCATGTCCAGCTAGTCAAGCATTTTCTCCTTCCTACCACCTGTCATCAAGTTCTTTTAATTTTTTTTCTTTAAAATAAATGTCGTATTCCTTTCCATCACTAGCATACAAATCCAGCTGCTTGTATCATGTCTCAACTACCTCCAGTCATGCTACTTTCTTCTGGTTTACTCATCAAATATTTGGGTACTTACTGCATGTCAGTTTCTGTGCTAGGCTCCAGGAGGGAGCAAAATGGAGACAGTTTCTACTCTTAAGGAATTTAGTCTTGTGGGGAAGACAGACATGGCACAAAGTCACCAATTACAAGCTATAATAAGAGTTACAAAGGAGAAGAATAGATGCCGTTGAAAAAAACAATAAGGTGACCTAATTTAGATCAGAGACAAGTAAGGCCCCTGAGAAAGTAATACTTCAACCAAGACCCAAAGAATGAGGCTCAGAATAGGGAGAAAAAAGCTCTAGACAGGAACTAGCACATGTGATGGTCTTGAGACAAGAGGAGTTTTGGCAGGAAATTGAAAGAAGGACTTAACTAAGAATTTTAGATTTTATTCTAAAAACATTGGTGCAATGAACTGAATATGTCCCTCCAAAATTCGTGTTGAAATCCTAATCCCAACTCGATGGTATTTGGAGGTGGGGCCTTTGGGAAGTAATTCAGTCATGGGGGTAGAGCCCTCATGAATGGGATTAGTGCCCTTATAAGAAGATGCCAGAGAACTAGGTTGCTCTCTTTCTAACATGTGAAGACACAGCAAGAAGATGACTGTAAACCATTTAGAGGGCCCTCACCAAGAACCTCACCCTGCTGGCACCCTGATCTCAGACTTCCAATTTCCAGAATGGTGAGAAATAAACGTTTTGTTTTTTTTTTAATTTTATTTTTGAAATTGACAAATAATAATTGTACATATTCATGGGGTACCTAGTGATGTTTTGATATATGCAATGTATGGTGATCAGATCAGGGTAATTACCATACCCATCATCTCAAACATTTATTATTTCTTTGTGTTGGGAGCATTCGATACCCTTCTAGCTGTTTGAAACGATGTAGTATATTATGGTTAACTACAGTCATCCTCAGTGGTATAGAACACTAGAACTTATTTTTCCTATCTAGCTATAATTTTGTAACCTTTAACAAATCTCTCCCTATTCCTTTCTTCCCAGGCTCTAGTATCCTCTGTTCTACTTTTTACTTCTATGAGATGAACTTTTCTTAGCTTCCACAAATGAGAACATGCAGTATATAACTTTCTGTTCCTGGCTTATTTCACTTAACAGAATGTCCTCCAGTTCCATCCATGTTGCTACAAATGACAGGATTTCATTCCTTTTTATGCCTGAATAGTATTTCATGGTGTGTATATTACACATTTTATTTATCCATTCATCTGTTCTTGGACACGTAGGTTGATTCCATATCTTGGCTGTTGTGAATAGTGCTGCAATAAACATGCGATGCAGATGTCTCTCCCATATAATGATTTCCTTTCCATTGGATAAATTCCCAGCAGTGGGATTGCTGGGTGATATGGTAGTTCTGTCTGTAGTTTTTTGAGGGACCGCCATACTGTTCTCCATTGTGGTTATAGTAATTTGCATTCCTACCAGCAGTGTATATAAGTTCATTTTTCTCCACATCCTTGCCAGGGTTTGTTATTTTTTGTCTTTTTGATAATAGCCATTCTAACTGGGGTCAGATGATACCTCAAAATCATTGTGATTTTGATTTCCACTGCACTCACGATTGAACATTTTTTCATATATTTGTTTGGCCATTTATATGTCTTCCTTTGAGAAACATCTTTAAAGATCATTTGTCCGTTTTTTTTTTTTT